CCAGCAATGGCACAAGAGAATGGGGCAGAAACCGGTGCCCAGAAAGTTCCACCTGAACATGAGGAAGAACTTCTTCCCTGTGCAGTGACCCAGCTCTGAACAGGGTGCCCAGGGAGGGTGGAGTTCCCCTCACCGGGGATATTCCAGACCCGTTTGGACACAATCCTGGGCCATGTGCTCTGGGATGACCCTGCTGGAGCAGGGAGGTGCAACCAGATGACCCACTGTGGTCCCTTCCACCCTGACCCATCCTGGGATTGTGTGCAGGTTTGGTTCTGGTGCTGGTGGGCCCTGGCCTGTACTCAGCTTGTGCTCCGAGGAGCAGCCCTTGGGAGAAACACATCAAGGTTCTTACCAAGAGTAGTTCTCCAACCATGTTACACAAAGATCTCCAACAACTGCTGCACAACAGCAAATCAGCCCCAGAGTAGTGGATCCCAGGGCTACAACTTGACTGGCACAGCTAGATGAATAAAGCACACAGGGATTTGCTACTCACTTCCATTAGAGACATTTTTAAAAACTGTGGCAACTCATAAAATGAAAACAGAAAAGACCTGAAATTAAGATCACCCTTGAAATGTCACTTTGCATAGAACTTTAAGTAGAGGACTTAAACTAGAGAGATTTTAATATCCCTGGGGGCAAGGGAGTTTTTAGTAAGACTTACTTGTTCTTCATGTTACAGAAACAACCAGAACTGGTAAAGCTAGGAAGGGAATTGGCAGCCCCTGCAAATGCACTTAGAGACAATTGCTATTTAACTGCCTCTTTACGAAAACATTCTCCAATATTCAGCCATGCAAGCAGATTTTATGAGCAGAAAGAGACTCTGTTCCACCATTACAATGCTGCTCAGTTGGCTCTGTTTACACTAAGATACCTAAGAACCCTTCTCTGTTCCTTCCACTCCCTACTCCCCAAAAATAGTGGAAGAGACTGAAAACAAACTCAATCCCAAACCTCCCCAGTGTTTATAAAATAAAGCCCTGTTAAAATGTCATGTTCCTTACCTCTGCACAGCAGCATTACCAGCCAGCAGTGGTCAGCATTAGAATCAGCTCTGTCGTCCATCCACCAAGTACTGATACTGTTTCTGATACTCTCTACAAAGACTCTGGGGTAACTCACTGTGGGTATTTAAAACCTGGAGATGTTAGTTTAGCTGCAGAGGTTCAGCTGCAGCACAGAACCCGCTGCCTTTCCCCAGCCCAACACTGCACCCTGTTTGTACCTTCTGCCTAATGCTATTACTTTCACTCTATAACTTTATGGTGAAGCCACTGACCTCTGATCCCAAAAGTATCCTAACTATTTTTTTTGTCCCTTGGAATAAAGTCTTTGTTTAAAAATACACAAACACTGCCAGGTAAACACACTCATTTTTCATATTACCTTGTCCTGTAAGAGTTGAGCTGTGCAGTTCAATTTGTAAGCAAGGTCTAACATAAAAGACAGTCTGGCCTCATTTCCTCCTCTGGACTGCTGGGGTTTGAGTCATATCTACTGAATCTATTATTTCTGTGCTGCCTTTAGAGGTGCCAAGAGGTTCCTCTCATACTCCATTGATATGCTGGTTCTGGACTTCAGGCAACTCCAACAAGTGACAAGTTCAGCCTAACTGTGTTTGAGGAAACAGGATAAACTTTCAAAATTATAAAAAAGGCAACATTATGAGTATAATTAGAAAAAAAACCAATGTGAATATAATAAAAGTGGCATCAATTAAAATGTTTTTTCCTTTTGGAACAAAAAGGGGTTTAATGGTCTTAAAAACATTTTCTGTACAAAAATTGCTCAATGACCGGTATTTGCCTCCTCGTGGTGACAACACTTCTAACTATTGTTTCCTTCAGCAGCAACTCCCACAGGTCCTGTAACAAGGATTATCTCTTTGGCCAGTGGTGTGTCGAACCCCTGCAAAAGAGTTACACAAACACTTTAACTCCTGCTCTAAATTCACTCAAGACTGAACACTGACGATGTTACAATGATTTTATCAAGGGTCCTGATGCAGACAGAGCCCTTACCCCCTCCAGTGCTGCCCTTACCTAGTGTTGCTCTTTTATGACTAAGTAACACACAAGACTCATCTCTTGTAAGCTAAACATTAAGTATCCATTCAGAACAAGAATGTTCATGCTTGGCAGTACTGTTATTTGTCTTCCTCCCAAGCCAGCCAGATGTTCTCCCCACCTCCACCTACCTTTGTGGTCAAAGAAAGCAACTCCCACATCCATTAACACAGACTTTTACCTCAGCATTTCAAACCTTCCACTCAGACTTGTCTTTGATTGCATTAATCCTGACTAAGTTTCTCTTTTTTTTCCTTTTTTTCCCCTTTAAACTGACGTCAAGCTGTGACACAACCTCTTCCCACTAAACATGTGCTTAAGCTCCCACAGCAGCAGAGCACAAAAGCTGTGCTCTGCCCATGGCTCCAGGGCAGGGGTGTGCAAACACTCCAGCTGGGTCAGAGCAGGCTGACAACACACCTCTCAGCTTTCCCCGCCAGGTAGGACATGCTCCGGTTTCCAGACTGTTGAAGTTTGTTAGCTCCAGCAAATTTCTGCACAGAGAAGAAACAAAACACCAGCACAGTGAGGTTCCTGCCAGATCCAGTGTATCCTGTGAGGTTCATGTGCTGCCCAGGTTGTGCCACCCTCACACCACTCCATCCACAGCGTGAGCTTTATGCTTTAGGGCTGCTCTGAGTGCACCTGAGGAAGTGCTGTTCTACTGCTCTGACCAGGACATGTGAGGCACAGTGCCCCACTGACAACACATCTTACCCAGCTAGGCAGAAAGACCTGTACAGGCTGTCCCAAATTCACCATTTGGTTTCATTTTTTAATCCTGGAACAAGTTTCAACTGACAGGATTGCACAGGAAACTGTTTCCTACTCTATCAGGCATAAACTGGTTCAGCTTCTAAAACACAATTTTTTTGAATGTCTCAGATGCTCCCTGGTAACATTTTCCCTCCAGTTAAATATGCAGGAAAGCAGCATGCACAGGGGAGGCTGAAATGCAAGAAATGAGCTTCAGAACTTAAAATTAATGCTCAAGCACCCAGTGAGTTCACACACGGGCTTCCTGTTACTTCCTGCCTGAAAGCCCATGGACATGACACATCAGCACCAAACTCCATGTGTGAGCACTATGCAGGTATAGATGGGGGGTTTAGGTGCCCAGGTTTGCAGGGGACAGCACAGGAACTGCCCTAAGTTTGTGTTTGATTGTTTTCTTTCTTCTCTTCAATCTCAATTAGCAGTAAGTGAAAAATCTCTGAGCTCAGACTGTTTTCCTGATAACAGTACTTGGGGAGAACATGATCAACACACAGACCTGAAATGACCTGGAACCACTGGAATGACTGAGATTTTTGAGAGTGCCTTGAATTTGGTACTGGGAATTTGTAGTGGTGTGCTGTGGTCCAAGTGTCATGCCTGTGATGTGTGGAGGTGTAGGTGTGAATAA